TTTTAGGGAATCCAGTTCTCCACCAACTCCTGGGGGATGCCTGGGGCTTGAGTCTATGCCAGACTCCACTCCTGTCCAGAACCTTTCATTCCAAAAGTTTCAACCAAGTGTATGTGGTGTGGCAAGTACTACATATACAGAAAAAGCCAGAAGTGGTGTTGTGGCTATAGTGGTAGTGCTAGCCTTGAGCAGAGAGGCTTAGGGACAGTGCCCAGGCCCAGAGTTCAAGCCCCAGGATTGACAAAAAGAAAAAACAAGAAGAGGTTGAGCACCCCCACCCACCCTAGGATTACACGCACAAAAGAGAAGCATGTGATCTTGCCCCTGGGGCAGGAGGAGAGGGTTTTGCACCCTGAGCTGAGGACACTCACTGGTCCATGTGCCCTTCACGGCAGGTTTATGATTAAGAGGGCACAAGGAAGAAAACGCTTTGGGATGAAGAATTTCAAGAAGAGATGGTTTCGCCTGACAAACCATGAGTTCACCTACCAGAAAAGCAAAGGTAATGGGCCTCCCATGCTGCCTCACTCAGAGGGTCAAGACCCCCGTCCAGCTCTGCGGGGTTTCGCTTTCTGAGGAATGCCAGAAAAGGTGTTTGCCTCCAAGTGCTAGCTCAGGCCAGCTGCAGCCCCAGGGGCAGGGGACAGGCAGGCCCTGTGAGCTGGGCCGCCCAGGGACCTTATTCTCTTCCCTCTACCTTTCCTGAGTGAGGAAGACTGTCTTAGGAAATCAGTTTCCCCATGCACCCAGGAGGCACACCTCCTGGGCCAGTGGTAGTGATGGGGCCCATGCTGTGGAGAGCCCAGCACACAGGACAGCTTGCAGCCAAGTGCAGTTTCATACCCTCTCTGCGGCAGGAGACCAGCCCCTCTGCAGCATCCCCATTGAGAACATCCTGGCTGTGGAGCGGCTGGAGGAGGAGTCCTTCAGAATGAAAAACGTGAGTATGGCCCTGCTTGTTCTGGGCAACCGTCCTCACACTCCATTCTGCATGGGCTGCGAGCATCGCCCTCCACACTCTGCGTCTCCAAATTGAATCTCCTTGGTGACCAGGTGCTGTCCATCCAAGCCTCATACCCTGCCCAGGCCCTAAGCCAGGCCCAAGCACTTGGGGCCTCCCTGGCAGCTTTCTGCAGTCAAGATCCTTCCTTTCTGTCCCCTTGGCTTGAGCTAGCAGGCCCCTCCATGCCCCCAGTATATGATCTCTGTGTCCTTTCAGGCACATTCCTAAAACAAAGGCACTCTTTTTAGAACCACAGTGCCGTTGCTTCATCCACACCTTCTGACCAGGTGAATGTCCACCCACCCTGTGCAGCTCCCTGTCTTTCAGTCACACGAGCAGGCACAGCTTGCATGGTACTTCTCTGTTCCCAGCCTGTAACTGCCCTGCACCACTCTCTGGGCCTTGTGGCCTGCTGGGCTGTTCAGGGAGGCACCTGGGGTCTGTAGGTGAGGCCCCAGCTATTCTCCGGGGAAGATGGAGTCTGAGCCCCTCAAATCAACTGTAGAAGTCCTCACTCCTGGCTACTCCCTGATTCCTGGGCAGTGTGATCTGTGTCTTTCCCGGGCTCTGGCTTCCACTAGGCCTGCTCTGCTGTGTGCAGCCCAGCCTGTTCCTCCCAATTACTTTACCTCTCTGGCCCCAGGACCTTTGCCTACTCACTCTCTTCTGCCTGGACCCCTTCCATCACCTACTTCCCATGTTCTACACACTTAATTTTTAGTTCCCCATATGATCTTGGCTGCAGGACTGTCTTTTTTTTCCCCTAACCCCATTAGGCTTTTACCCCTACACAGCCACTTGTGTTTTCTGTTCACTTTTGTCTTCCTGCTGTCTGGAAGTTCAAAAGACAAAGGCTCTGATCCACACTGTCCTCAAGACCTAGGACAGAACCTGGCCCTCAGCAACTTTTGTTGCATGAACAACAAATGGCAAAGGCAGTGCATTCCCTAAGAGGCCTTATGAGGAAGTTACACCTGGTATGAGGAAGACTCTGGCTAATCTGGGGGGAAGAAGAGCTGCTGTATGGTGAGAGTATTGTGTGCCCGGGCTCTGAGGCTGTGGAAGTGGGCGCTTAGGCCCCAGTGTCTCCTGATGGCTTACACAAGAAGACTCAGACATACACTATGTTACTAACACCTGTGGCTATCTGTAAGAGCTCAGATGGTGTGAGGTCCTCTGGAACATGTTGATGGAGACCTGTGAGGTGTAGGATAGGAAGTTCCCTGGCCATCCTAACCCTGAGACTGCTTTTTACCTCCTCCGTCCCTCTCAGCCCTCAGTTTAAGGGTGCATAAACCCTCGGCACCCATGGCTGCCTCTCCTGTGCTCAGAGCTGCAGAACATCAAGCCAGTGCCAGGCTGTGACCCAGGCCAACCTGGCCTGCATCAGCTTCAGAATTCTGGGAGGCCCCTCTGACGGCATCCGTGATGGCCTGGCACCTGCTGGACTCTAGTCCAGCTGGAGGTCCCTGTGGTCCCCTGAGCCCATCCTGTGTATTCAGATGTTCCAGGTGATCCAGCCCGAGCGTGCATTGTACATTCAGGCCAACAACTGTGTGGAGGCCAAGGATTGGATCGACACCCTTACCAAAGTGAGCCAGTGTAACCAGAAGCGCCTCACTGTCTTCCACCCATCTGCCTACCTGAATGGTCACTGGCTGTGCTGCCGGGCTTCCTCCGACACAGCCCCTGGCTGCACACCCTGCACTGGGTAAGTGTCTCTGCAGTCCCTGTTCACCAGCCACGGTCACCTGAACTGTGCACTGAAAGGGAGGTTCAGCCAAGAGCTATATGCATTCTGAATGTAGCCCAGACTCCTGCTGTTTGGTAAGTAGTCCCACCTAGGAAACCTTAGGTCAGGCTCTCTCCAAAGCTCTTGCTAGGTTAGCAGGTCCTCCCAGAGCATGGCTGTCCTTGGTGATGGGAGGGAGGAAGGGGCTTGGTGCCAAGTGGGACCCAGGGCAGAGGCCGTTCTTCCAAGGAGAGCCTGGACACGTGGCACCGATACCTGGGAGTGCCATCTGCTTACAGACACCTGGTTTCCTCCCTTGCACTGCTTTGGTCCTACCCCCCTCAGAGACTGAGGCAGCTCCTATCTCCTGGCCCTGTTGCCAGCTGACATGCCGCAGTCACTGAGATTCTGTCGTTTCTACCAGTCCCGGAAGGTGACCAGGTGCCCCAAGCCTCACTGGTATCCAGTGGGGTTTGAGGTGCCCTTGTTAGACCTCATGTGACTGTGTACATGACAGCAGTGGTAGCACCCTCATGTGTGTCAACAGTCATCCATCTCTCAGGCTCTGTCACAAGCCTGAGGAAGAGCCGCTTTTGTACCCAGCTTCTTTGGCACAGAAGCCAAAGCTTAAGAGAAGCTGCCTGTCAAGCTAAGAGAGGATCAAGGGCTCCTCTATCAAACTGGCACAGAAGCTGGAGCCCATAGCCTCCTGTCCCCTGGGACAGCCAGCCTGTCAGTGACCTATGCCTGAGGATGATTCCAGTCATGGCTGATGCTGTCACTTGAGTCACTCCTCCTTTTCTGGCTTTTTGCTAGTTAATTACAGATTACTCTGCCTGGGCTGGCTTGGAACCATGAATAGCTAAGATTGTAGGAGTGAGCCCACTGGCATTCAGCTTGGGGTGAGGTCTTAATTAAGGTCTCTCTACTTTCTCTCTTCAGTGATTCTCTTTTAAACAACATAATTAAAAGCTTAAGCAACTGTTTTTATCTTTCTGTTCCTGCTGTATTTGGACAGTGGCCTCCCTGCAAACATCCAGCTGGACATTGACGGGGACCGAGAGACAGAACGTATCTATTCCCTCTTCAACCTGTACATGAGCAAGCTGGAGAAGATGCAGGGTGAGTGCAGCCCAGACCCTGCACCCGGGAGCTGCAGCCATGGCTTCTGAAAAGGTCCTGGGACGTAGAATAGTAGAGACACTGCCCAGAGCCTTGGGGCCCTGTAGCCCCTGCAGGAGTCTGGTATACCACTGAAGGGAAGTTTCACACAGGCCATCAACTGGGAGAAAAGCAGTTTGACAACATGTCATTATATTGATGGTTTAGGTGGAATGTAACTTTCATTCTCTGAGCTGCCAAATTCTTTCAAAGACTCTTTCTTAATAACTTTTATACTACAGACAGGATTTTCTTGTTTCATAGAGAGATGTGTGAGTGTACATGTATGTGTAGATATGTGTGGGTATGGCTATGCATGGGGGGTTGTCCACACATGTATATACATGTATGTGGGCATCTTGTGGATATGTGTATGTGGGAGGGGTACACAAATGAGTAAGGTGGACATGTGTGTATTTCATGTGCATGTTTGCAGGTATATGTATATGTTTAAGCACATGCCTGGGGTATGTATGTGTGGATGTACACATGATTCGTAATGTTCTGTTGTTCATGAATGTGCATTTTGTTGGAGTAGATATGAGTGAGCAGGTGTGTAAATATATATGTGTATGTATATGCCATTGAGCATGCTTTGTATGGTGCATGTGTGAGTATATGTATGTATATGCATGGACATGTGTGTGTGTGGAAACTTGTGTGGTTGTAGGCATGTGTTGAACATGAATTATGTGGTCATTGTGTGAGTATAAGTGTGGAAATTTGTGTACATGTATAGGAGGCACATGGGTGCATGGGGCACTTTTATGAATGTATGTCATGTGTATATATATATATATATATGTGCGTATATGTATATATACATATATACATACATATATATACATACATATACATACATATATACATACATATACGCATGTATATATACACCCATGTGAGTGGGCATGTGTGAGTGTGTTCTGTGAGTATATGTGAGCATGTAGGCAAATGTGAGTATGCACAGGGATGGACACATGAGCATTATGTGGGCACATATGTTCATGTATGGCCATGGGTAAGTATAAACAGGTGTACATGTGTATCATGTCACTGTGTGTCTACATTGTGAGAATGCATGTGAACATATGATGGTGAGTGTGTTGTGTCTGCGTGTGCATATGGACAAATGCATTAGTGTGTGCCGCCTAACTACAATACCTGGGGAATTAAGATTTCAGTATGTGGATTTGGGGTGAAATGTTCCATTTACAGCATGTTCAGAATTGCAAGTCCTGGGTTCTGGAGCCTAGGTGCATGATGGGCCCCATGAGCAGCTCCTGGCAGTGTTTGGGAGCAGGTGGCAGCTGCTGAGATGCCTGGGGACCAAGGGCGGGGGGGGGTGGTCAGGTGTTGAGGGACAGGTTGTAAGCTCCTGGCATGCTGAATGGGCTGTGTGAGTGGCAAGAGACCACAGCACAGCCTTCCCCAGCAGTGATGTCCTCCAGAGTTGGATGGGGTAAGGATATAGGTGTGAAACTACTAGGTTATCTGTCTGACCTTCTGTCCCCAGAGCCAGTGTGTCCTGACCATGAACATACCCAAGGGTAGGTGGGTAAGAGTGCCAATTTTGCCCTTTGTAGGATAGATGATTGTCCCACTTGGGCTCCCACTTGGACTGGGGCCCTCGAGCTAGCCCAGCCTAACATGTAAGTGTAGAGTCCTCTCTCCTGGTTCTAGACAGATGCATGAGGCACCTTTGAGACATGTAGCTGGGGGAAGGGCTGCGGCTTGGGGCCATTAGGCCCTCAGGAGGTTGGTTGGCAGGGCCCTGGCTGCCCGCCTCCCTGAGGTACTCCCAGGGTCCGTTTGGGCAGAACTTGCCCATGGAGTGGCTTCTGTTTCTGTCTGCAGCCCTTTCAGGAAAGGGCTGATGTGGGGAGTGCTGCGGGTGAGCTGGACAGATGACCAAAGTCAGGGCTGAGGCACTGGAGCCTGGGCCACTCCCTACACTGACCCTTACCTTGTGCTGCAGAGGCCTGTGGGAGCAAGTCAGTGTATGACGGCCCAGAGCAGGAGGAGTACTCCACCTTCATCATCGATGACCCCCAGGAGACCTACAAGACGCTGAAGCAGGTCATTGCCGGGGTGGGAACCCTGGAACAGGAGCATGCCCAGTACCGGAGGGATAAGTTCAAGAAGACGAGATATGGCAGCCAGTGAGTGCTGTGAAGCCAAGGGCTGTGGGAGCAGGGTGTGATGTGGGCGATTCCCCCAGGGCCAGGCCCCCAGACCTCTCTCCCTGTGTGGCCACCGTCCTGCAGAGGAGGGTGCCAGTGGAGCCCAGCTGGAGGCCTGATCGTGCTGTGTGACCGCCAAGGTTAGGCCTCACTCTCCCCTTTAGGACAAGTGGCTCACTAACCAGGGTCCTGGGAAGTGGTCCCTCTCCACACTGCAATGTTTCTGGACTTCCAGCATCCATGGTGGCTCAGAGCCACGCCCTGTCTGCTTTGGTGTCACATGCTCCTTGCTGTTTTCCTCAGGCTGCCCAAGGTGCCAACAGCAAGGCCAGCTCTGGACTGGCGGCACACTTGTCCTATAAGAAAGAAATGCAGGGTGTGCAAAGATTGGGGCTCGAGCCAGGTGGGGCCTTCCCAGCCACTACCACCTCTAGACTGTGGCCTCGGGCAGGCCAGCCTCCACAGGGGGAAGAATGCGGGGAAATTAAGGTGGATTTCTACAAAGAAACTAGAACAGCCTTGGTACCAAGTTAGTGAGTGGCGGGGCCTTGGCCCCATCTAGCAGGTGCTCAGGACCACCATGACAGAGCTGTGGCACAGCCTGAGAAAGATTAAGGCTCACATGTCCACTACATCTGCCCACGGAAGGGTGTGGAGAGGCCTTCATCCCAACTGTACCCGGTCACTCCTAGGACTGAGCTTCAGGACAACGCTAAAACCTAGACCCACCTGTCCCTGCTCCTGACCACCACAGCAGCACAGCAGGTCCCTTTGGACTGCCTCTAACTGGGGAACCTAGGTTCCTTGTAAAAACCTTGCATTGTGATATTAAACACTTGTCAGCTTTATAGTCCCAAACCAGCAGTTGGATGCTGTGACTCACCAGCTGCTGCCCTCAGTGCAGAGCCTCAGCAGCACACAGGAGGACAGAACCATGCCCTCTGGGAGTGTGCACACTGTCAATGTTATATAGTCCCTGTAGCATACACAGGCACAACCCATATACATGTGTACATAGCCTACACATTTGCATATGTAAGTATTTCAATATATGCACACATTACCTATGCATGGCTGCAACACATGGGTTGCAGTTTATACACATTTATATGTGTGTGCATTACGTGCATGTATGTGTACACATAGTGCAACATGCCATGTGTAATTGTGTGCATGAGAGATCACAGTTGTAGCAGATACTTCCATAGAAGGCTTTGTGCTTAGTTCTTTTGTAAAAAAAATTACCTGTTTTCCATATTTATCACACACTTACAAGTAAGTAAGAGTGCCCTTTGAAGCACAAGTGGACACTTCAGGTGTTGCGTGACACTTGCACTCCCTTGCTTTTCCAGGGAGCACCCCATTGGAGACAAGAGCTTCCAGAACTACATCAGGCAACAGTCCGAGGTCTCCACCCATTCCATTTAAAGTCTCTGGTGCCACCAGATGCTTCAGGAAACCCACGGCACTGGGAGCAGAGAAGAGAGGACCGAGGGGCTCCACATTTGTCCCTTTGTGCAGGCCCCAGTGGGCCATCTGTGAGCTGGGCGAACCCTTCCCCCACAAGAGCCCTTGCTGAGGCCTACACCTTACTTACTTCACCCATCTGCCAGAGGCAGGCCATATGAGCCATTTGGGAACATGTGGTCATTTATCTTCTTACTCACTTTGGCTTCATGGGGATCCAGAGATCCATGGGCTGATGGGGCGGCGTGGGCTTTCGAGTAACCCCGCCTCGCCCTTCCTTGGGTAACAGAGCCAGCCCAGTCATAGCCGTGTGCGTTCTGCAGTGTGTGCACTTCTGTTCCCTGCTGTTGCCCTTTGGCCTGGCCTGCACCTATGTGGCCTTCCGTTCCTCACCCTGTTTCACTGTATTTGGAACCTCAAGAGCAGTATTTTTCAAGCCTGCTGTCTCTGCTGCCCTGAGCAGGTAGCCTCTCCATTCGGCTTGTGTTGGTTTTGTTCTTGGCTGAAGGGTCAGTTTTACGGCATGGATACACAGAATGGCAGAGAAGTTCAAATTTGGTCTTCAGGGAAATGAAGCCCTTTCTGCAGAGTCCCTAGCTGGGGGAGCAGGTCTAGTTATCTCTAGATGACCATTAACACCCCAGCTGGAGCACACGGTGTCTTTAAAACTAGAATCTAGATGTTAAGCTACTAGGATGGAAATTTGGGGAGGACTTTTTAACTAGAAATGTTCATTTTTCAGGCTGTTTTTTGTAATGTTTTTAAAGGACCGTTTTTAACTAGCTCTTTAATGTACTCATGAAAGGAGATGCTGCAGAGAACAAATACAAAGGGAATGGTGTGTCTCACCAGCAGACTGACTACAGTCCTCAGAAGGAGGGACCTGGGTTTGAGGCTGTGTCCACCTACACCTCAGCCCCAGGAGGCCGGGCAGGGCAATGGCTGGGTCACTTTTTATTGGGGGGGAGGAGGGTCCTAAAAGGGGCAAGCAGACCACTTCAGCTGAGTTACACACTGCTTCTGGAACCTCATCCTACAGGTCTCCCCGCGGGGCAGAGCCTGAAGGCACTCGGAAGACACTCCACTGGTCCTGGTACCCGTGTCTCTGCTCCTATTTGGACTACAGTCCAGACTTGTAGTCTGGAGATGGCATATAGTAACAGTACTTGTCATCACTGTAGAAGTGGAAGTGCGAAAAACACACTTTTGAATACACAGCTATTTGCTGCACTGAGCTGCAATTTTTAACATGGATTTGTAACTTAATGTCTCTGTTTATAAAATACTAATGATTTGCGATGTATTTTACTGGCCAATTAAAACAGATGTTTTATTCTTTGTGATGGCTGGATTGTTTTCTAGAGGGGTGTGCTTGGAATTACACAGGATGGGCTGGGGGTGTCCCTGTACAGGAGGGCACACGTAGGAATGTGGGTGGCTGTATTTTGATAACTAATGACCTCTTACAGGGGCTGGGAAGGTGGCTCAGTAGTAGAGCATTTGCCTTGCATGACCTCTTACAGGTGACATCATCTCTGGTGACAGCATCTCTCTGATGTGGGTGACGTCACTCTGACGTTTCTTTAGTGTTTTTCATAGTGTCTTCCATTTGGTTTACACTTTTTTTTTCTTTTTTAATTCCATCTAGAGCTACCCTCAATAGGAGGAAAGCCTGGGGTTTGATTTTAACACCAAAGTAAGCATTTCTAGGAACATACCAAGGGAAAGTCTCAGGCACACAAGCTGTACCAGGTAAGATGAATCTGGAGTGGGCCCCTCACCAGCCTCCATCACAGAAGGGCAGGGAGCAGGGCAGGGAAGGTTATACCCACCTGGTCTGTGGTTCAAATGAAGAGGTGAGTAGCAGATGGCTGCTCTGCCCACGGATACCTGTCCTGAGCCGCTCAAGGCGCTTAGACCCAAGCAGCCGTGAAAGCTCTGGCAGCCCCAGGGCCAGAGGATTCATTGGAGCAAAATAAGTTGGCACTGAGCAGAGGGGAGCAGGCCTAGTTAACGTTCGACTCACTGTCCCAGGCCTAGTTAACACTCAAGTCACACTGAAGCATGCACAGACAGCATTGAGATCACACCACAGAGGGTAAGTTCACCAGGATACATTGCAGCATGCTGATTTAATACCTAGCTCACAATGAAGCATAACAAGTTAATACTCAACTTAGACTGCAGCATACATGGGAGTGGGCCTAGTTACACTGAAATCTCACTGGAGCATGCCTGGTTAACTCCGCTCACATTTTAGCAGGCCTAGTTAACACTGAGTTCACAAGGGAGCAGGGCACATGGGAGCCCAGGAACTGGGAGCCTGGTGAGCCCAGCCCATGGAGGTAGGAGGCACGCAGGCAAAAAGGGTAATACTAGGGAATGCAGACCTCCAGTGAGCAGTCACAGTGGTGAGTGATGCATCCTCTTGTTCTACACACAGCCTGTTTTTCTTTGAACCGAGGAAGCTGTCTCCACACACCACCTCTGGCTTTCGTCCTGGGCTCCCACCCTCTGTACCTCTGGATGTGGGTCGGGGTTGCCACCCAACACTGCTGGCTGGGTGCTTTAGCCAGCCCCTGCCTAGATGCTAGAGCCACTCCAAGGAAACAACCAGAAAAGAGAGAAGGCTATGTCTGGGGCCACCCTGCCTCTCTATGAGTGTTCTTGAGTCCACTCAGGACAAACTGCTGTCAGGAAATGAGACACACACACACTAGTAGGTACCCTGAAGGGACAGAACAGCCCTCCGCACTCTGAAATAAACCTCTTTTGGCAAAAAGGCTTTTTTTTAGCAAAGGCACTGGAAAAACCAGCAGGCATCTAGAGAGTTCTCACCTGCCCCTGTCCTTTCCAGCAGAGGAATTTCAGACAGACAGACAGACACACACCGACCACCAGGAAAAGAATGGCCTTGTCACTGAGGATGGAAGGAGGGATTCTGCACACAGACCTGGTGACTAAATCCCACTCCACACACTACCCCAGCCCCATACACACACCTGTTGTGCAACCGTCCAAAGCTTTCCTCCACCTGGTAGACAAGCATTTATTTTGTCACTTTGAGCCACATTCCTTATGAGGCTTCTGTGCCTAAGAAAAACTAAATTTGTATCAACTTTCTCCTGCTGTTTAGGTCAGTTTAGCTCTCTCCTCAACCAAAACCCTAGAGGGTAAAGGTAGAATTCAGAGCAGTAGATGGGAATATTCTGTTAGGAGTTAAATTGTACCCCAGATCATACGCTGAAGTCCTTCCATCACAGAAGGTCACTGCTGGGGGTAAGGGAGAGGCTTTAAGGTGGCATGAAGCAAACGAGATCGTTAGGGGGGCCTGACCCCCTGTGGCCAGTGTCCAAAAGATTAGGCCCAGACTCCAGGGTGACCATGCAAGGACATAGGGAAGATGCTGTCTACGTGCTGAGCGGCCAAGAGAGCAGCTGACCCCCGAGACACCCCGGGTGTAGACCAGCCAGCTGTGGTCCTCCATGGACTGGTTCTTTTGGCTGGACAACGCACATCTTCCCAAAAGGCTTCCTCCAGAACCGCCCCCCCCCCCCCCGCCGGGCTTGTTTTGTCCCTGCACAGTGCTAGATTAGGTCCAGAGTCTGATGGCTGCCTCCCTCATTTGTTTTTTCTGAGTTTTATCCCTAGCACTAATTCCTTCAAGAATGAAGGTACAGTGCAGAGCTTCTGGGTAGGAACGTAGTCGTGAGGCTGTTTCTGATGGAAAGCCCCAGCCTGGACTTGGCCTGGGAACCTTTGTCTAGTGGAGAAACCAGTAAGTGTGGGGAAGTAGAAGAGAGACTCCCAAGTAGAAGAGACCCCAACCCGTGAGCTGCAGGGGCCTCGGGGCTGCCAGCCTTTGACCCTCAAGCCTGAGGTGACGTCATAGCTGTACCATGGCAACGGAGGCCTGGAGCACATTCTAGAAGAGACAAGGTGAGGAGAGGCTGGCCGCGATGCCCTTGGTCTGAGGTGGTACCCTGGCAGTGCCTTCCTCCACGTGGGGTCAGGATGGAGAAGGATACCACCACGCACAGGAGGCACCGGCCTGGCCCCGGGGCCCTGCCCCCAGGAATGGTCCCCGGACATCTCAAGGCAGCCAGCGATGGGGCAGAGCTCCACAGGAGCAGGAGCATGGGTGGCCTGCACCAGAAGGGGGACCCTCCAAGCCACGTCAGGAAGCTGCGCAGAGAGCCAGGTAGGGGACTTACACTTGGAGAGCCGGGAGGGCAGGCAGAAGGCCCAGCCCTGCCAGGGAGGGACAGAGCCCATGGGCACTGCAGCCCAGCGAAGAGTAGATGGGTAGCTGCTGATTCCAGGAGTACCTGAGCCGTAGCCCTGCCTGCAGTCCTAACAACCCACTCCTTAACAGATGTACTTATGGGAAGGGGCAGACCTGAAAGATCAGCCTGGGGACCGCTCAGGAGTTTTAGGACACATCCACATGTGTGTACACACAAGCTGTTTGCTTCTTGCTGTTTGGAAGGGGCTTACGTGAGGCTGAGACTGGACTGCAACTTGCCTTTTCTTTTTGGAGCTCTCCTTTGAGAGCTACCAAGGTCTAAAGCTACTTTGTAGAGTAGTGAAAGTCCCCTAACAGCCCCAGCAAACAACTTGGGCCTCCTGTGTTCTCTGTGGGCTAGAAGCTACCACCCACCAGGGGTCCACAAGCGAGTCCAACACTACAGTCAGCAGATAGATCAGCAGCGGGTTGCGCAGGAAAGGGGACAAATGAACAGCCCAAGTGAAGTGTGGAGCGTGAGATGTGCTTCTCCACAAGCGGTAGACTGGAGAGCAGGCGAATGCTGACCACGTCCCAGGCTGACAGAAGGCCTGGCCAGTTCTCGCAGGAAGGCTCCTTTCCTGCTCAGGCTCCTCCATTTAAACCATGAAAGCCTCGTTGAAAGCTCTGGAACCTCCAGGTTCGATTTGAATGCCAGGGCTGCTACAGGTAGCAGGTGACACCAGCAGTTCTAGACTCAGATCTGGCCCAGGCGGCAGCAGGGGTACAGGAGAGGCTCTGAGTTCCAGCCCGGGAGAACCCCCAGGGATCCCCACAGATCCTGGAGTCACCTGTCTCTTCAGAGCTCTGGGCTGAATCACACCTGCTGTGCTCTGAGCGGGCAGAAGCAGCACCCTGAGGAGCCACGGACTAGAGAGACTGCTGTCTCCCAGGATTACCACGGAGGCATCCTTTACCTTCATGCCCTGTGCTTCTTGCTGTGCATGCAGGATGCCCTCACCCTTGGGCAGTTGGTTCAGGTTTCCTCCTGCCCCCTAGGACAGGAGGACTGTGAGATGCTCCTCAGGGAGCCATCCCCTCCGTCTGTGTACGGAGAAGGATCGGGAACGTGTCCCTTTTCCCCCACACCCTGCTCTGCTTCTGGGTCAGCTGTGATGGACTGAGGGCATTTGTGACCTTGGGGTCTTGGACACACTATTAGATGCAGTGGATAGCTCATCTGAATTCTGCAGAGAGAATGAAGAGCTAGGGGTGGGTCTGTGCTGCTGGCTGTGTGGCTCTAGCCTGCCTGTGAAAGGTGATGGACCTGCAAAAACAAAGGTGCATGGACTAAGGGTACCAAGTGGCTGAGGGAAGAAACCCCTCTGCTGCTCCCACTCCCTTGAGACCTGCTGTAGGCCACCTGGGTGGCTGCAGGGCCCTTCAGTGCACTAGGGGGTGGTGAGTGGTATAGCTCAGAATGAGTGTGGGGGCTGAACTGGCACGGCCTGGGGTGCCGATGGGACTGACCAGCTGTGTTTGCCTCTCAGAGTCTGAAGACCTGGGGAAGGACCCAAGAAGTGGAGTAGAGGACATCATCTGGTAAGCAGGAGCGGAGGCTCAACACAGACAGACCAGGGAGCAGAGCCCCCGAGGAAGGTGCCTGAGGACCCTGGGGGAGACTTGTTAGAGAAACAGAGGCCCCTTGGCTGCATCTCAGGACACGCCCTCTCTCAGGCAACCCCATCCGTCCAATGTAGGCCTCATCCCCAGCTAGACCAGGCTGAGTTGCCATATAACCAGTGACAGGTTAGAAAGAAGAGCAGCCCCAGATGGGAGCCACCTACTCACCCTGCCACCAAGAAGCTAGGAATCACTGAATTACACACGGGCTTTTCTCCGATACTAGAATCCCATTCACCCCAACCACAGACAAAACAGGGCCACAGCCCTCACAAGTGGTCCTTCTTGAGTGTCTGAGCCATGAAGCACCACCAGAGATGCTGTTGGCTGCTGTACTTGGTGCCCACACATCATGTGAGCATCCTCCCTGGCTGGCCAAGAGAAGAAGTATCTGTCCACCTCCACCAAGTCAGAAGTCACACCCCTGTTGCTGGG